CCACAGAAAGACGTGGTTCAAGTCCCTCCCCGGGTAGATGGCAATGAGGAAGGACTTGCTCTCACTGGATTTGATTTACTCCTTCCTAATGGAATGAAAACGAACTTCACGGAAACAGTGCGGACAGCCAGAGGTAACTGGATGACCAATGAACACAATATTACATAACAAATCAGAGCTTAATTGGCTACTCTTGATTCAAAAGGCACAGCCTCTGCATTTTACAATGTTTCATTTCCCTTCACTTTTCCTAATTTTGTCATGGTGGGGCGACTACTACAGCTCCCTCTCTGACTGCTGTGTCTTCTGCTTATCCTGGTCCTGCCCTTGGAAGTGAACCCTGCCCACCCACACTAAGCTCCCCAGGAAGCCACTTCAAAAGTCACCGCAGGTCAGCACTCGGCCTCCAGGATGCTCCCAGGCCCCTTAGCTGCCCATCCTGCTATTCCTCCCGCTCGGTTTCTAGAATCCTCCGCACGCTCACACTGGGGTTTGTACTGTGGCCCCGGGAGTTTCTTAGCAAGATGGACCCATGACTCGGTTTGGCACCCTGGACGGAACCCTGCCCTCCGCCCCACCCCGACCGAGACTGCCCTGCCTTGGACCACAGAGAAGCCCCGCCAGCTTCTAGGAGCCCTGGCAGCTTCTAGGAGCCCCAGGCTGACAAGGGAGGGACCGGACAGGTGTCAGTGGTGTGCCCACATGTCACCTGCACACATTGTAAGTTCTCCCCTTCGTCAGCATCCCTCAAACCTTAGCCGTCCAAGATCTGCACGCCCTGGCCTCTCTGGCCTCCCTGTCCCTAAAACAGCCACTCTCTCCTGTGAGGACCCTGCCCTCCGCAGGGTGTGCGGGGGTTGGGGGGCGGGTAGGGGATAAGTGTGCTCCTCACTCATCCCTTCCCCCTCTCCACACCCCCACACACCCTCCTGTCAAACCCGCCCAGGAACCAGAGCCCAGGAACTGTGGGTGAAGGGAAGGAGGAAGAAGAGGCAAAGCAGGTTGGGGAGCTGGGCCGCAGGTGCGCGGCTGGTGGACCCGGGCGGGGCCACCATCACGTCAGGTCCTAACATTTCTCTTCGAGTCCTATTTCCATTTTTTTTCTGATCAAAACATGGGAGTTTGCTAGGACCTGTGCAGTTCATTTATAGTCTGATTTCTCAAGTATTCCCTATAGACATCATAACAAATATGTGGCAGCCTAAGAGTGAAACAAAAATTTAGCACTTAAAAGAGAGAAAAACCTGTTCATTGAAATTGAAAGTTACTCCGGCTTAATCCAAAAGTGCATATGGAGTTGCCTGATTTTCCCATTAAGTTCTTCCTCTGATGTTTATGGTTCCGGAGGTGAACCGGAGCAAGTTTGTCTTAATCCAAAACCTGAACTGTATTTTTAGTAAAATAAACATGTCCACTAGAGCACCACACAAATCAGTAACATCTTGTAAAAAAAATTCCTAAGAGAGAATGGCATGAACTAAATTTTGTGGTGAAGTATTGCTTGTTTGTTTTATTTTATTTTTAAACTTATTTTACCACCCTTGTACTACAAGCTTGAATTATGAATACATGTCTCAAAATATTTTAACCAAATGAAAAATATTCATTACACGCTAAACCAGTCTCTCAAAATACCTTCTCTGGTCAGTGCTCCTATCTGAACAGTGCTCCTGCCTTATGACCAGTAATATTTGTTTTTTAAGCATTTCTAATTTGACTTGTAAAATCTGGACATTTTTCTATTTTTGAAAAGTTGTCCCCCCAAAATAGCAACAAGCCTCTCTCTCTTCAGTGCTACACAGAAAGGACCTTCCGTCTCCTCCTCTCCTGGAACAGCTACAGGCCGACCCGACCAAGGTCATGATGGTTGGCGCAGGAAATCTAAATCTGGCTGGGGGCAGCGGTGATTTTCCAGGTGGGGGGAGAGGGCGAATGCAGAGCCCGGAGGTCCTGCACCGCAGCCATCCTGGGGGAAGTCTGCCACCTGGTGGTGGATGGGACCGCGGCCCGGGAGTCAGGCTCAGGGGTGACCTTCCATGGCCCCCAGCGGAGGCAGGAAACCACGGACAGAACCTTTATCTACTGTCTTCCCCTCTATCTACATCCGTGCGATAAAGTGCAGCTTATCAGTTAAACACCTAGTAAGAGATTAACAACACTAATAGGGCAGTTACGACAATGCACTGCGACACGAGCCAGGTGAATATGGCCCCTCTCTCTCAAAATACTGGATTGTACTTACCCTGATGGTGATGACGACGATGACGATGATATTGTACTTACCCTGATGATGATGACGATGACGATGATGACGATGAAGATATTGTACTTACCCTGATGGTGATGACGACGATGATGATATTGTACTTACCCTGATGGTGATGACAATGACGACAATGATGATATTGTACTTACCCTGATGATGATGACGACGACGACGACGACGATGGTGATATTGCACTTACCCTGATGGTGGTGATGACGACAATGACGACGACGACGATGATGACGACGACGGTTATATTGCACTTACCCTGATGGTGATGACGACGACGACGACGACGATGATGACGATGACGACGATGATGACAACGACGACGACGACGACGACGACGACGTGAGGTGATGAAATGCCTTACGTCGGGAACTTGCACCTTCTCCCTTAAAGGAAGCGCGTTACGGCCTCCCTCTGACGTATCCGAGCTGTCAGTGTCAGCACTCTCGCAGGTGGGGCGACTACTAAGGAAAATCAGGGTGACTCGAACACAGGCCCGGCCTCGGCCCACAGCTGCGCTCACAATCAAGCCAGCTGCGTAACTAACTGCGCACGTACGCAGCGTGGAGACGCTGACCAATGACCGGCTGAGTCACATCCCGCGAGAAAGCGCGAGATTTCATCACATCTGGCACCAACTGGGTTTCAAGTGCATGGTTTGTGTTTGGAATTTTCCGTTTAATGTTGTCGTACCGCAGTGGACCGCGGGTCACTGCAAAGGTGGGACATGAAACGGCGGGTAAGGGAAACGACCGTGGTGGTGACTTGGTGCCCGGGCCTCGTGGGCACGGAGAACTGCTTCTGCAAACGCAGTCCTGGCCCGGGGCTTTCGTTCTCGGCGTGGTGTGCAGCCAAGGGAATACCCAACGAGCAATAGTCAAACCCAGGACGCAGAGTGTGCCTTCCTATAGCTGAAAACTACCCAGTAGCTCCCTGTATAAATCCCCGCTCCACATTAAGTAGTAAGTGTTTTATTTTAACAAATCCCGCCTCATTTCTACACGGATCACCCACGTCGTTTCCTATACAATGGTGGGCCAGGGCGGGGATGTGGTAGCGTGCTAATCCCCCATTATAATGATGAATGGTCTACTTTTAAATGTTCTGTCCAGAGAATATCTTTTCATCTGTTCAGATCCATGCAGTAATCTCAGCTGACGGCTGTCACTCAAAACTGATGGATGCATTCAAGCAAAGTTAAGGGATTGGGAACTGGAGCCCAGGCCAGGCCACGCAGATATATCTGCACTCTCATTTTGATTTTGTCATATTCTTCTGGTTTGCTTTATGTTGTAAATGGTTGCTTTAAGTTTATATTAGAGACCAGGTATCTATTTAAAGGCACCCCGTCGCACCTCTCGCCCTGCTCCCTGGGGGCAACTACTTGTAGGTCTGCTAGCTGCTCCTGATGGTCTTTTCCTGCATAGTCTCTAAACATAATGCTTCCACTGCTCTATCCAGCTCTGCTGGTGGTGGAGCGTCTTAGTTTGGGCTCTGTCAGAAGCAGACCAAGAATTCAAGGACAGGATGGGGAACTAAGACGAGCAGGGGCAGGCAGCCAGGAAAGAGCACATCAACAAATCAGCAGCCCCCAGTGCAGAAATGAGCCTAGGATCCCCGGTTTAGGGCTGCTGCCCTCACATAGGCAGCTCCTATGCCAGATCGGCTCTGTCCAGCACACATGGGGGAGGGCAGATGGGACCTGCAGGGGGCGCTCTCCTCCAAAGTGATCTGAATGAGTTCAGTCCACACCTGCTCTCCAGCGCTCTTGGTTGCTCCCCTCTGCAAATATCATTACTCCTTTGATGCCTTTCTCAAAAAAAAAAAAAAATTCATAGGAACAAAAGGGCTGGCTAAATCCCTGTTTGCCGCTAGGGAAACCATGCCACACTTTTATACGTGTGACCTGATGTAAAGATTGAAGAACAAAATAATACAAAATAGAATCTGTGCCCACATCAAGCTTATTCCATTGAGGTGGATGCAAGACTACAAGGCAAGCCCTGGCTGGTGTGGCTCAGGGGTGTGAGTGCCAGCCTGCGAACCTAAGGGTTGCCGGTTCAGTTCCCAGCTAGGGCACATGCCTGGGTTGCAGGCTGGGTCCGCAGTTGGGATTCTCCAAGAGGCAATCAATTGATGTACCTCTCACACATCAATGTTCCTCTCCTCTTTCTCCCTCCCTTCCCCTCTCTCTAAAAATAAATAAACAAAATCTTTTTTTTAAAGACTAAGAGACAAGAAGTAAATCCGGCAGCATTTTTCTCACGGAGGGCTCCTGAGAGCAGAGGACGGCAGGTGTTATTCCTGGAGTCCTGGTGGCACTACAGTTGGAACACGGAAATTTCCTTTCAGGCATGTTTTATTTTTTCAAATCAAACTTTGTACTTATGAATGACACATTTTTTTAAAATTACCAGTAAATTTAGCTTTTGTTTCCTGTGACTTCAAGACAAACTAATATGCCACCAAGAGGTGGCACTGTGCACCAAGGGTGTCACCCTAACTAGTAATGTGGACTTTGGACATCTTGAAAAACCTCATTTATGTCAAAATGTATGAGAGAGACAAACACTGCTGAAGCTGTTCAGAAAGGCCTAAATACTTCTTAAGACTATACAAAGACAGATAAAAGTATTATTCAAACCACTGGCAGTGATATAAGCTGTATGACAGCCATTTTTTTTTGCTTTAGTTACACTATTTTTTTAAATGAGGAAACAAGTCATTTTAAAAACAAACATATACACATTTTTAATATAAATGTAAAGTAAGTGTGTGTCCATGGCGGAAACAGTGTTATCTTCAGCTCCCCGCCCTTTTCAAAAGATACAAAACCATTGTTTCAAAAGATACAAGATGCACAGATAAATCACATTCACTCCTTACAAATGTTAAATAGCAAACAATTTAAATTCATAATGAACAGTGATGATTCATCAGTAGCTTGAGATTTCATTTGTTCATGCCATAATTTTAAAGAAAGAGCTAATCATGTACCTTGATATTGTCATTCATTCATGTATTACTCCAAGTACAAACCACCCTAAAGATACAGTCCCATGCTTGTCACATGTATTATAAAAATACTGAGACATCTATCAGGCATAATGAAAACTATATTTTGGAATATGTTTCACAAAGATAAGTCCAACATTTCTCTTTGGTTCATAAAATATAAGAGGTAGATTGAAATAAAGTGAATGCCTACCATGTCACTAGATTTTCAGTAAAATGTTGACAATTTATAACAGGAATTGCTAGCAATCAAATGGAAGTTTTAGGAACTAAATTTAAAAAGTGGTAAGAGTAACTGCAACTAATAAATATTTTTCTAAGTCCCAATCACATAAGTCAGAAAAGACAGTTAACTACAAAAATGGCTTCAGTAAAATAAAAACATGCTATAATATTAAAAGTTAAGTTTTCTATATCATAAAAACACGTTCTAAAACTTGGGGCAAGAAAGAATATAAATGTGTGTGTTTAAAAATTGGGCCTTGCATTTAAACTTAAGTACCTAACATTAAGACAAGGTTTGTGCTGCCCAAACTGGGAATCGCAGGTTCAAAGAAACTGAACAGTGAGGGGGAAGACAAGGCCGTTCACCCATGATCCACGCACTCCATGTAGTTAAGAAATTTCAGATTACCAAGAACGGTCTCCAGAAGACTTCCTGATTAAAATCTGATTCAAGTAGGAAATGAAGGACAAAGAAAACAGAGCTGCTCTTCAGAGGCTGATATTAAGTAAAAAGTTTTTGTTTCCTGGTGCTTTTTGAAGCAGTGCCAGGATAAACAGAATCTTTCAAATAGGCCACCTTGTGTCGGTAATGTGACAGTAATTTACTCACAACCACTGTGTCATCCCAGGAAATGCAAGGGAAACAGAGAAGGGCCCACTGAAATAAATATTGTCATCACTCCACCTTATACAAAAATGATAAAAATGGGCTAGAGTTTTTACATCCCTTGAAATTCAGCCACTTACATTCATTCTTATTCAGCTTAAAGAAAGACAAGGACATAAACCCTCTACTTATTTGCCTGCTGGAAGGTGTATTTTCGTGCAATGATTCGATTGATGGCCCTACAAGGGAATATTAAGAAGTCTGTAAAGACATTCAAAATGTATAAAACAATTTAAGTTTCAAGGTTTTCTGATCATGTTGTTTTTAAGAAGAAGACGACTTCAGTATAAAGAAACTGGCATAAACTTGAACCATTCAAAATAAAGATGAATGATTTACCATTCTCCCATACAAAATGAAACAAATTTACCCTACAAAACAAATTTAGTTCAAGCAGGTACATTTTTCGGATTTAGGATTCAGGGCAGAGATCCGTAGAAAGGACTAATAAGAAGAGATAAAATGTGATTTTTCTGGCCTTGTCAGAATTGGAGGAGCTTATCAAAACTATGATTTTTTAAAAACATCTCTGTATGTATAAAATTGAGCCCAAACGTTTAAAGTGATCCTTGATAAGCTCTTCCCTTTTGTGAAAAACCGCAGCCCCATTTGCCGTAGGCTTGCGATTCCAGGAGGAACGGTCCCTCTGGAGGTGACAGGAGATCTCAGTGATCCGGCCAAAGCAAACCATTCGACGCGTCATTTCTGGCTCACTCCTAAAGTCTGCTTCATGTTTTCATAGACCACGTAGCTGATGCCCACGGCCGGGAGCACCTTCATGAAGTTCGGGGTGATGCCTCGGTAGAGTCCGGGCACGCCTTCTTTGGAAACGATTCGTCGGAAGAGGCCGACCATGGTCAGCTGCTGGGCTCCTTCTACCATGGCTAGGAAATAGAGAAGGAAGCCAGGCTAGTTTAATATTCAAGCATGTTCTGTTCTCATTACTGTACCTAATTCTGACTCAGAATGACCCAGAAGGAATGGATAAAATTTATTCCAAGAAAGCATCCCTTTATATAACTCTCCTTAATGATGGCAATAGGCAATACCGTTATTTATTAAGTGATTACTATGTGGTAGGTGTTGGATTAATTACTTTATACACCTATCCTCCAAGATATGTATTATTAAACCCATTTTATAAATGAGAAACTGAGGCTTGGGAAGATGGAGAAACTCATCCTAGCATACTCAGTTAACAAGTAGGAGAGCGGGAAGTGATGGTGTTTCTGCCTCCAGAACTCCTCCCTTCCTACCACCCCACGCTCAGCCCTCTCCCCTCCTTCTCCTAAACTGCATGGCCAAAGCGAGCAGTTCGTCCCGGAGCTTAGAAACTCATAGGGTCCCGGAGCCTTGAAAATGGCCCCAATAGGTGAGAAAGGAAGGAGGCGGAGCCAAGGTGCGGGCACCACAAAGGCCGCACAGGAACGCACGTGGCCAGGCAGCGGGATGCGGGCAAGCGAGGCGTATGGACTTGGAGAGGAAGCGGAGAAATCCGGTGGGGCCACATGATTACAGTCTTTGCAATTCCCACTAAGAGCTTTGGAACTTATTCTGAAGACACCGAGAAGTCACGCAGATGCCTGGCGGGAGTCAAAGGACCAGACCTTGACTTTAGAAGCAACGGATCTACCAGCCACGCAAGGGACTTGAGTGGAGCCGGCAAAGACGAGGGGAGGACTGGTTAGGTGATGGTTTGAACTGGCTGGCCTGGGTTTGAAGCCTGGCTCTCCTATTTACCAAGCACACACACTTGCCCAAGTGACTTAACCTCTTTTGGCCCCAGGCTGTCCATTTGCAAAACGGAGAAAATATTAGTACCACCCCCAAAAGATGGTTATGATGGTCCAACGAGGGCATATCTTCCCGCCCCTCCACTGAGCCCGTTTTCTCCTGTGTGGGGGCCTTCGCATTCTTTTTCTCCAGCTGGAACGCTCTCTTTCCACCCGCCCACCCCCACCCAGCTGACTCCCACCTGTCTTTGTGGCTCAGCTTAAATTACAACACTCTCCAGCTCCCAAGTTAGCTGAGAGGCCCTTACTCTGCGCCCCTGACCAAGAGGAGGGGGCTTAATGAGGCTGTTTATCTGCTGACTGCATGTCTTCACCACTGGGCGGGGCAGGGACTGCCTCTGACTCAGGGACCAGTCTGACCCTCTCCATCAGGTGGTTCCTAAGCATCAGGTGGGCTGTCCAGCACTGGGCAATGGCTCAGGAGGTACCCTTACCCAAGGATGGGCTGCTTGGCTGGGGCAGGGGTGGCCATTCTTGGAAGAGAGTTTGGGGATAGAGCTGTAGGTGTCCAGGGTGTACTATTTAAAGAAATGACAGAGGGTGAGATTGGCCAGGGACAGAGCAATAAAGAAGAGAAAGGCACAGAGAGTATACTTGACTAAAGCAATAAAAGCCAGCGAATCATAGAAGAGAGAATTGTTGTTGAGATGTCAGGAAAGCCAGGAGGGCACAGTGGAATCAAAGTCAAGGGCAGAGACAGTGTCACTGGAAGAGGCTCACAGGTCAGAAGCTGTAGGTCCCACAGTAATAAGCAATTCTGCCAGCGTCCACCAAGAAACTGACAAACACCAGGTGTCCTGCATATATTGCTGCTAATTCTTACAACACTGCACAGTTTTCATTCCCATTTACAGATGAGAAAACGAAAACCCAAAGAGGTTGTGCATAGGGATCTGAACCCACGTTCATCTACATGCTAAAGCTTCTGGACGCTTAAAACATGCATTCTCAACACGGGCAACAGGATCCTTACTCTGTTCGTACATACAGCACAGGCACACTATCATAGTACACGTGCAGAGTGTCCGCGGTATTAAAATTTCGTGAAGAAGGAGCAACCAGGAAAAGGCTTTGCAAGAACTTTCCCTAGGGAGGCAATCCTGGACATGAGGTTGAGCTACAGTACCCCGAAAAGCACGGGAGGGCACCCTTCCCTCATCGAAAACCCACCTTGAGCCTGCATGCGCGTTCTCACCAAAGCCAGCGGGTAGCTGGCCAGCTGCCCACAGGTGCTGGACAGGGCGCCGCATCCCAGCAACACCGTGACCCCGGGGTTCACAGAGTCTTTGGCAAAATTTTCCAGCCAGTGGGTCTTCAAGAGCTGCCAGAGAAACGGAAAAGAAGGTAAATGGTGAACAACTAACTTCACAACCGCTTTCACTCAATGTGGACACTCCCACAGCCACGCTCGTCCTTAGGAGACACAGGCCGCCCTTCCGCGGGACCGGGGGCGGGGCACACTCCCGGGGGCGGCCATGTGGCAGAGTCGTGGGGCAGCCACGGAGGCCGCGGACATGTGGGGTCTGTGCTGGCGGTCCGTTGGCTTCCAAGTAAACGTCCAGCCCACAGCACCCCAACTGTGGGGCCTAGAGAACACTGTCTACAGTGAGTATGAGTGAAAATGACACACTACTACCAACTGCATCTAATTCTGTACTTGACACGTGTGGTATTTCATTCAGTCCTTTCACAGAGCTCTGAGACGGAGTTATTCTACTGACTTTAGAAATGGGGAGAATTAGTCTCAGTGGGTTTTTGTAAAAACAATGGTGCAGAATCAAGGGTAGGGGTCCCCAGGCCATGCTTTCTTCCCCATTATTTTAGGTCCCGCCATTTCCATTAAAAGGCAATGATTGAGAGAAGTTTTATTAACTATGTATGTTCATCTACTTTTTAAATATAAATATTTTAGGTATAAAATATATGCCAGTAAGTGGGGAAAATTATACTTTGTTATGGTAGCCCAAGAATACTAATACACTACCCAAAGCCACCTGCAAACTCAATGCAGCCCCTATTCAAATCCCAATGAGATTTATTTGAGGAAACAGAAAACCACCTAAAACTTATAAGGAATCTCGAGGAGCCCTGATCAGCTACAATGATCTTGAGAAAGAAGAATAAAGGTGGAGGCCCCAAAGCAGCAGGAGCCAGGCCAGTGTGGTGCTGGCATGCAGGCAGACACTTCGATCGGGGGAGAAAACAGAGAACCCAGAAGTAAGTTCTCTGAGGTGAGACCAAATGATCCTCCACAGGGGTGCCAAGACTACACACCAGGGGAAGAACAGTCTCCTCCACACACGGTGCTGGGAAAACCAGATATACACTCGAAGAAACAAATGGACCCTTACCTTACTCCACAAATAAAAATTAACTCAGAATGGATCAAAGACCTAAACATAAGACCTAACACTGTAAAACTCCTTCGCAAAAAAATATAGGGTAAAATCTTGAGAATATTTGGCAGTATTTCTTGGATATGACACCAAAAGCACAAGCAACAAAAGCAAAAACACACAGTGGACTTCACTGGCTTAGAAACTTCTGTGCAGCAAAGGAAACCATCGACAGAGTGAAAGGGCAATCTCCGGAATGGAGAAGAGAGTGCAAGCCATGTCCCTGATGGTGGTTAATGTCCACACTATTTAAAGGCATCCTACAATTCAACAACAATTTAAAAAATAGGCACAGGACTTGGATAGACATTTCTCCAAAGAAGATATGTAAGTGGACAATAAGCATGTGAAAAGATGATCAACATCACTTATCATCAGAGAAATAAAAATCAAAAGCACAATGAGATATTGCCTCATACCTCACAAGATGGCCACTATCTAAAATAAATAAATAAATAAACACCCACACCCCCCCAAAAAAAAAAAAAGAAACAGAAACTAATGAGTGTCGGCAAGGACGCAGGGAAATCAGAACTCCCACCCACTGTCGGCAGGAAGGAAAAAGGGCGTAGCTGCCGTGGAAAGCAGTCAGTTTCTCAACTCCCTTAGCATCCCATCACCACCGGATGCAGCAATTCTACGCCTAGGTGCGCACCCAAAGGAATGGAACACGGAGACTCAGATACTTGCATCTGATGTTCACTGCAGCACTAGTCACTACAGCCAACAGCTGGGAACAAGCCAAGGGTCCATCAACAGAAGCACAGAGAAAGAAAAGGCGGTGCAGCATGCAATGGAATATTACTCAGCCGTAAAGAGGAACAGAGTTCTCAGACAGGCTACAACATGGCTGAACCTTGAAAACACCATGCTAAGTGAAATAAGCCAGGGGGAAAAAAGGACAAATACTCTATGATGCCACTTATATGCAGTAACTAGGACAGGCACATGCATAGAGAAAGTAGATTAGAGGTTGCCAGGGCCTGGGTGGGGGAGAGAGAGTGGGGAGCTATTTCTCAATGGTTATAATCGAGTTTATGTTTCGGGTGGTAAATAAAGAAGTTTTGGAAATAGTGGTGGCAACTGTACAACACCGTGAATGTAATTAATGCCCCTGAATGGTACCCTTAAAAATGGTTAAAATGGCAAATATCGTTATAGACATATAAAAAACACAACTTTTTAAAATTAACGATGTCAAATACCAAAAGTCATTGAACTACACTTTAAATGAATGAAATGTATGGTATCCAAATTACAGCTTCATTAAGGTGTTTTTAAAAAGCAGTCAAACCCTCTCAGAAAGGTTTTATCTCACACACACACACACACACACACACTGCCCTCGGCCATGGGGTGGGTCCCTTCCTAATGTGCCCAGGCTCGCCCCAGCACAACTGACCACACTGTGCCCTAGTAGTCTGCTGGTCTCCCTCCCCACCAGCCCATCACCGCATCCTTCTCCCAATCTGCAGACCCAGGGCCGCCCCCAGCAGCCTGCACGCACTGCCGTGCTCAACATCCACCAGGCTCACACATCACTAAGTGGTCAGAATGGTACCACTGAGGCCTGACTCAAATGGCCACAGGTTCGATTCCTGGTCAGGCACACGCCTGGTTTTTGGGCCAGGTGCCCAGTGGGGGCCACGTGAGAGGCCACCACACATTGATGTTTCTCTCCCTTTCTCCCTCCTTTCCCCTCTCTCTAAAAATAAATAAGGAAATTTTTAAAATAAATGGCACCACTGATTTACTCCGGGGTTGTTTCATCTGCACCAGGGGCGACTCTCTCCACCCACATCTTGGCTTCATCAAAGTCGGATATGAACAAATCAAGGAAAATGTGTCATGTTCGCTTACTTCCTCTCGCCTCCCCCCCCCAAAAAAATCCTTAGTACCATCTTCTATGTTAAACAACTATATCTGACGGTGAGTCCACTCTCTTCATTAATACAAATAATTCACAGAGAAATCTAATACAAAACTGACCACAAGCATATGGGGTCTCATATTCAAGATACTTGAAAGAAAAGATAAAATGACACCCTTGAATCTACTTTTGGTCACAAACTGTCCCCTGGTACATGCATATTCCTTCATGAACAGTAACAACTACTTAGCTACACTTTCAGATTCAAAAGATGGCTACAAACTCACCTCATACACAGCAAGATCGATACCTGCGTAAGGTATGATGCCCAATAAATTGGGAATGTAACCTTTGTAAAAAGCTCCCATGCCTTCACGTTTCAGAATCTTCTTGGCACAGTCGAAGAGTCCAGAGTACTGTCCGGTTTTGCCTACGGCCAGCCTGGTTTTCAAGACCTGGACGGGAAAGACAGGACAGAACACAGCGGCTCGCGTTAACTCCATCACCAGGAAGTTCCAGCAAATGAGCACCTGGCACACACTGCCACTCAAACGACCCTCCAGGGTGTGGGTGTGTCCCCTCTCACACACTACCTCTCCTGAGGGACTAGGCCAAGCGCCCAGAGGAGCCACTGGCTGCAAAGAGGACCTGGAAGAGGGCCGTGGCACAGGAAATCGAGGGAGGATAATCTACTGACGTCTCTACAAAACGGACCGGTGGCCAGTGAGACAGGGAGGGAAATGGGAGAGCCAGAGGTGGTTCCGGTTGTGGGGTGGGGGGCAGCAGAGAGGTGGGGAGGTGGTGCCACTAGCTGAGATGGGCAATGAAGGGGGAGCACTGGGCACGGAGCTGGGTGCTGTTTGCAGGGGTGTGTGGGCCAATCACGCTAGGATGGTTTCAAGGAAAGCTATGGCGATAAGCACACCACGAGGGGGAATTAACACGGCAAATATTGCCTGGGTCTTATCGATTATTGGAAAAAGCCTTTGTTGTGTCAATAAAAATCTAAACATCTACAGTATTATTTTTGCTCTGACATGGAAGTTGGCAAACTTTTTCTGTAAAGGCCAGACGGTACATTTTTTCATCTTTGCGGGAGTTCAACATCAGACCTCTGCTGTACAGAGGTTTGGAAGAGGGGCTGGTTAACCCCCTTTGAACAGTGTAAACACTATTCTCAACTCGAGGGCTTTACAAAACAGCCCACAGGTCCACGTGTTGGGGACCGCCCTGACTGGTATCAGAGGCTGAAACCCCCGCCTAGGCTAAAGCTAAGGGAACACCCTTGGAACCGTGAGCCAGCAAGGAGACAAAAGCTTATCTTCCTGGCAGGAATGCTGCTTCTGCTGCTTTATTCATAACTGAACCCCCAAAAAGCTTGGTCGGTTAGCCAAAGACGGGTAAGATTCCCCACGGGGGAACGACCTAAGCCAGGCACGATCACTTTTGGGGGGCCCCCCAAAAGAAGGACTTGGGGGGCTGCAGCAAAAGGGGGGGTGATGGACCCTCGCTCCTCGGCTTTGACATAGCCTGAGTTCTCAGCGTCTGGAAGAAAATCTCCTTATCTCTTGGTTGCCTTAGTTCCCTTGCTCCACCTAAGCCTGAAACAATGACAGGGTGGTGCAGCTCGGTACTGAGAAGTGCGGATTCCCCAGGGTGATCTGGCCTAAGAAAGAATATGTAAATTACTGTGAAACCTCCTTTGTTTAGAATGCTCTCAGTTGAATGAGAAGGGTGTTAGGAGGAAGTTATTTTGTTCCTCAGTCTTACAGCTCTTTGACCCCAACTCAATAGACCGGCAGAGTTCTTTGTTTTCTATGGTTCCTTACTTCCCCCGAATGAGTACTGTACTTTACCTGAATTATTATGCAAAATGAGCCTAATAAAAGCAGGTATGGACGGTAAATCAGCGCTCTCCCCACTAGGGGGGGTGGCCATTCTGTCCCTACTTCCCCACAGAAACTAGTTTGTCTCTGTGCATGTGCTGTTATTTCTCGCGTGTTTATTGTCGAGCCATCCACAGCATTCCGTGGTCACTGCTGGCCAGTGACCCACGCGCAACATCCACGGTTTGCCAACCCACGCTCTGGTCAAAGGGTGTCTAGGTAGAACTACCATCCCCAAATGCTGAGACCCATTATGAACTTTATGGCACCAAACTTCAGAGAGGAACGGGTGTTATCATTCTTACCAACAGAGCGGCAGCCAGCCTCCCAGCGGCCCTCAAGGATCCCTGCTTCCTGACATGCACACCTGTGCAGTCCCCTCCCACACTGCCCCAGGGGTGCTCTGCGTGACCAACAGTTTACAGCAGAAGTGACCGAAGATCGCAGCTTCCATCCTGCGTGCTACCTGCCCCCGAGCCCCCAGAGCGCCCGTCTGGGGAAACCGTGCTGTGCAGATACTCAAGCAGCCTGTGCAGACGCCCACGCTATAAGGAACCACGGTCTCCGGCCAACAGCCAGGAGGGCGGAGCCTTGGCAGTGACCGCGCCCTGGCCGACACCTTGACAGCAGCCTGTGAGAACCCCGGGCGGGCGGGGGGGGGGCACCAGCTCTCAGCTCGGCCACTCCCAGATTCCTGAGCCTTGGAAACTGAGAGATAATAAGTGCTCGTCCTCTTAAACTGTTCATTTGGAGAACACTGGTTACACAGCGATGGATCGTGAACACAAAAACCGTTAATGCCGATGGACCTCAGGATGGCACGTACCTCCATGGGGTAAATAAACGTCTGCGCCGTTGCCCCAGCCATGGAACCAGAGATGAACCTCTCAAAGGTTCCTACTTTCTGTCCTTCCTCAGTGAGCATCTTCTTGTACTGTGTAAAGAGGTTTTAAAGGCACATTACTGTTTGCTATGGGCAGAATTATGGGCCCACACTCACAGATTCCTGTGCTGAAGCTGCAACCCCCAATGTGAAGATACTTGGAGAGGGGCCTTTGGGAGGCAGTAACTAGGGTTATATGAGGTCACAGGATGGGGCCCTCAGATGAGATTAGTGTCCTTAGAAAAAGAAACATCAGAGAGTTCTCTCTCTCCCTCTCTCCACACGCACACACCCAGGAAGGGCCCTGTGCGCACGCAGCGCCAGGGTGGTCGCCTGCAGGCCAGGAGGACAGCCCTCACCAAAAACCAACTGGGTCCACGCCTTGGTGTTGGACTCCCCAGCTCCAGAACTGTGAGAAATGAATTTCTGCTGTTTGAACCACCCACTCTACGGACTTTCGTTACGGCAGCCCAAGCTGAGTAGGGCAATATCAAAGTACAAATCAGCCCCTAGAAACCAATTACCTGATAGTGTGATTACGTTTCTCAAAGTGCAGACACTGCATTAGTGCTACTCAGCAGAAAAGCGAGGCTTAAGGGCTCACACGTTCAGTTTACTGGAGCGTGGTTTTCAGGTTAGATTCCCTCAGAACACAGGGGCTGCCGGAGGGGACCCAGCTGCTTCGCAGCCAAACAGAACAGCATTCCTCCCCCGATAATACAGAAAATACAGAAAATATGGGCTTAGTAAAGGGTTCACATTTTTGAATACTTGCCCCATGGTTTTTCTTCTGGAAGGGGAGGTTATTTTCACTAGGACAAATGAAACTGTTAACTAAGTGACAAATATTAACAACTCAGAAAGACAGTTTCTGTAGGTGATACATGTAATTACACTGCCATCAGCGACACAGTGAGAACAGCTACCTGTTCATACGCCCAGAACTTGACAGCCGTCTCGGGAGCAATTTTGATGACGTTTGTGCCATTTCCTCTCCAAAGGGAGCGGACGCCTCCTTCTTTCACCATCTGCCGGAAGCCGCCGTATATGTTCATCTTGTCTGATTTTGAACCATGGACCTAAAACCAACAGTAAAACGATAGAAAATACCGGCGACGTGTTATTGTTACTATTTCTAAAGGAGCAACACAAACCACTCCCTTTTCTCCAGTACTGCAAGACGATGTATTTGAGAATAGCACACAGGAGGCCAAGAAAACGCATAATATATAAATAAATATAAATAATTTACGGAGCACCCTACCACAATGACTGGACATATTAAACACTGCAACAGTCACAGAATGCCAAAGACTGCAAGTCCATCACACACACGCACCAACGGTCCAAGGTTTGGCCGCACACGGAAATACTTTCGTGGGCTGAATTTAGGGGTAAGAGCAGTACGATAGATGGTTTTTAAAGGTAGGAAAGACTATCACGGAGAGCTTTTTAACCGTTTTCAGAGTGCTGTATTTCTCATCGTCTAAGGGTATTCAGGACAAATAAACAGACAGGAGGTCAGGAGGTCACCTGCATCATGACTTTGAGACGGTCCAAGGGCGCGGTGCTGGTGCGGGAGACGGCCCCGGCAATGCCTCCCGCCAGCAGCTGCCTCCACCACTGCCCCGACTTCTTCTCGTCTTCCGTGAACTCATCCGGAATAGTCAGGCTGTCTCCTATGTCAATACCCTGTTAAGATGAAGAGAAAGATCCCCAGGTTCCTTCCGTTAAAGACAATCGTTCCAGCAAGCCTGTTCCAGAGGAGAAGCGTGTTGTTCTGCAGTTCAGATCAGCTTCATCCCCCAGAAAGCACCCGGAGCCAGCGCGGGCACAGGGATGACCACACACGGCTGCTTCCCACATGTAGGGCCAGTTCACACGCAGTGAAAATGCACAGTATTTGCAGATGTACCCAACCAGCAATCACAACTTTCTTTCTTGACAGATTCTGAGTAACTGTCTCCTCTGGGTCTAAGTCAGAATGAAAGGTCAGCAGTTTAATTCTTTTTAGCTATAGAAGGAAATGAGTTTGCCAGTTCTCCAAAGACACACCTTTTGTCTTGAAACTGTATCTATGTTCTACTTTGTACCATGACAGATGCTTTAGGGATGTAATTAAAAATTAAATTAAAACTAGGTGTGTGAATACCCCTAAGTTTATTTCCTATATGGACTATCTATTGAGTATTTTTATAAACCTGACTTGTCATTTAAAACATGCAAAAGAGGCTATATAAAATTTAGCTAACAAGAGGTATTGTTAGAAATGATCTGCCCTCCAATCCATTCTAAAGCTTATCAGAGAGTACAAATGCAGCCTGAGAGAAACAAAGTTCTATAATGGTGATAGTTTTACAACTTCACAGTAAGACTCTGGTACACGCGCAACAGCATAAGCAGAGCTGTGCCAGTTCAGGAGCCCCGGGCACCCTCAGCTGTAAACGTTACAGTGTTCTCAGATGGTGCCTCTACCCAGGGGTGACAGCTGCAGATAAGTATAAAGCGTACTTACAGTAGAATGCTTCCAGAAACGGACAATTTCCTCGATGTCTGTAACAGGATTAAATAAGAAGTAGTCCCTCCATTCATTCCAGTCCACTGTCATTGTCCCATCAGCATCAATGCTGGAAAGGAAGAAAGAATAAAAAAGCAGCAGCTAAGTAAGGAACACAACAAAATTTACACATTGCCATTACTGGCTACTTTGCAGAATCAGTTTCTTTTCCAACTTAATATTCTTATTACATTTTTAAACTCCTAATTCAAAGTAGGTTGTCGGAAATGGCAGCATGCACGTGATGGTCTGTTATATAGTTTTAATCACTTCTTTTTAAAATGGGCCCCAGAACTGCAGAGAGAGCTCACCAAAGACTGCTTTCAGCACTCCGACAAACCCCGAGTCAGCGAGAGCTGTCGGACTCGAAGCCTGGACGGTGAATAGCTGGGAGGCAGCGGTGAATGGTTCGTGACCCTTTCCCTTGCACGTGCTCAGGAAGATGCTTACTTCCTGATGTTCTGTTACAACAACATTTGGATGTGACACAGGAATACATTCAAAATACACTCTCAATTTCCTTCTCCAACTTTCTCTAAGCTAAGAAAATCCAGAAAATCATCTAGAACAGATCTATTATTTGTAGGTCTGTTCTTGGATAGTTTGGGAGAATCATCTGGGACTAAAATTTTCTTAATGGGAAAATTTTTAATCACTGATCCAATACCTTGATTTAGGAACTACTGGCTATTTCTTCTTGATTTAGTTTGAGCAAATTATATTTTTCTAGAAATTCTTCTATTTCATATGTTCTCAAATTTATTGGCATAAAATTATTTATAACATTTTATTATCTTTTTTCTTTCTTTTTTTTTTTAACATCCATGTGTGGTTGCCTCTCCCATGCCCCCTACTGGGAACCTGGCCTGCAACCCAGGCATGTGCCCCGACTGGGAATCAAACCAGTGACCCCCTGGTTCACAGGCCCATGCTCATCCACCCAGCCGCACCAGCCAGGGCAATGTTTTATTATCTTTTTAAGATTTCTGACACATCTACATGCAATTGGACATCATTTATTTACAAGTCATTTCTCTCTTTTCTCCATCCATCCGTCCAGAAGCTCCTTCCTGACAGTCAATATTTGGTTTTGTTGTTCCCATTACCGTATCTTTGCTTTCTATTTCCACTGCTGTCTTTATCTCCTCCTTTCTACCTTCTTAGAAATTATTCTGGTTTCTCCCCTTCAGTTAGCACATTGATTTTCAGCCTTCACTCTCATCTAATACAAAGTTTAAGCCTATAAAAGTTCCCCCAAGTACCGCTTAGCTATATCTCCCAAGTCATCATCTGTGATGTTTTCATTTCTGCATGTCCACACATAATTTCCTCCTCGACCCATAAATTATTGAGATGTACATGTCATTTCAAAAGCCACTGGAACTTTTATAACTTGTTTCTGTTATTGATTTCTGAACTAATGCAGAGTCATCAAAGAAGGCGGTCTTTGTAATACCCATTTTTGAAATATGTTGAGCCACACTTCATGGTCTACTATGAAATCAATTTTTATACATGTTCTATGCATCTAAGAAAAAAATTTTTTCTAATTTTTTTGGTGCAAGGTTCTATTGTATGACTATTACATCAAGGTTCTTATTTTCTAAAATCCTTTCTGTCTTGATTAAATTTTTTCTCTGCTTCACCTATCAAATACAGAACTATGTACATTAAAACCTCTCACTAGTATAATGAATTTGTCAGTTTATCCCTGGAATAATAATCAACAAACTTAAAAATGTTATGTCTTTGTGGCGAATTTTAAAATGTGATGACACTATTTTCATTAATGTGAAATTATAATTTTTACCTTATAATCTCATCTGATATTAAGTTAGCTACCCCAGATTTTTTTGTTTGGCTTTTTCTTTCATCTGACTATCTCTGTCTCTGAAAAAACTTTTTAAAGTTTTACCTTATCATCTTATTTGATATTAATTTAGCTACCACAGCTCAGTGAGGGGAAAAAAAAGAAACAGACACAAAGGCCACACATGCTATGACCCCATTTATATGAAATGTCCAGAACAGGCAAATCCACAGAGACAGAAAGTCAGTGGGTGCGGGGGGCCAACAGCCAGGGGATGAGTGGGGAATGACGGACCACAGGCGCAGGGTCACTGCTTGGGTGACGACAGTGCCCCAGAGTTAGAGAGCGGTGATGGCTGCACAACTCTCTGAATATACTTTAAAAACCACTGCACTGTACACTTTAAAGGAGTAGATGTTACAGTATGTGAGTTGTATATCAGTAAAGTTGTCATATAATATTTATATAAATAATTATATAGCCATATTTTTTCGTTGTGATCACCTAATGGGGATGATCGACACTTTTTTTTATTGCTCTGAGAGAGAGAGAAACATCAATTTGTTGTCCCACTTATTGATGCATTCATTGGTGGATTCTTGCACGTGCCCTGGCCAGGATTGGACACGCAGCCTTGGCATCTTGGGACAACGCTCTCTAAGCAAATGAACCACCCGGCCAGGGCCTACCTATATGGCCACTTTTAAATATCCATCCCTCTGCATCACCCAGGATCTGTTCTAGAGCTTGGGCTTGGAATGTGCATAATTCTTTTTTTTTTTTTAGATTTTATTTGTTTATTTTTAGAGAGGGAAGGGAGGGAGAAACAGAGAGAGAGAGAAACATCGATGTGCGGTTGCTGGGGGCTGTGGCCTGCAACCCAGGCATGTGCCCTGACTGGAAATCGAACCTGAGATGCTTTGGTTCACAGCCCGTGCTCAATCCACTGAGCTACTCCAGCCAGGGCTGGAATGTGCATTATTCTTAAAGCTATCAAAAGGAATACAAGAGTATCACTTCTGACCTAAGAACCAACAACAAAAAAAACACAAAAATACCCACTTTCCTGGAAGAATGTGACTTTAGAAGCAGAACACTGCATGTTCCCCATCCCACTGTCAAAAGGCTGTTTATCTGTTTTCCATGTTTTAGCTTTTCATTTCCTCAGGAAAGCCTTTCTCCCCAGTGTTAACAAGGGTAACCCCACGCTCAGCTCCAAGATCTGGACTGCTTCCTACTGAGCTGCTGCTTATAGAACAAATTCAGAAGACACAGAAAGGAGGAAGATGCCACAGGCACAGACACAAAAGGAGATGAACTCTACAATAAACCCACTGAGAAGGACCTTTTTATATAATGTTAAAGGCCAAAAGATTTCAGAGATTATTGTTCTATCCTGTGAAATAAAACAAGTAAGTTTGTAAAGATCTGACCTATGAAATAGGCGAGCTGATTACCCTGGAAATAATATTCCAGGGTATATTAGTACCTGTTTTCTGAAAGTTTACATCGGTGTTTCTTTGTCAGGCAGCTGGAAGAACATTAGAATTTCCCTCTTATCCAGCCACGTGTCGGTTAAGTTACTTGATGTATCTGCTAGGCTCCTCCCCTTAAAACAACGAGTCTGCTGTCACATTAGGAATGAAATGGGAAACTGAACACCAACACTCCTGATGTCTCTGCGGATTTAACACCTTGACATTCCACCGCCCCTTAGGGCTTGCAAAAGAGTCCTGTCTTTCTCTTATATGTGGAATCCAAATAAACAAAACACAACAGAAACAGACTCACTGGAACAGAGCCCAAAGGGGGGCTGCCAGAAGGGAGCAGGCAGTGGGGAAGAGAGTGAAAGGTGGAGGGGAACAGAGTCGATAACACTGTGAAGAAAGAGTTCACATGCTCACGGACAACAACTAGGATTTGTGGTGTGGTCACACCGTGAGGCAGGAAGATGCTGAATCCCTATACTGTGCACCTGAAACTGAAATACGATTGTATGCCCACTGCACTTAAATAAAATAACACATTTTAAAGTTAAAGAAGAAAGAGTCCTGTCTGAGCCCACACTTCCCGCCTCAGACGTCTGCGTGCCTACAAAACGGAAGGGAAGGAAAAGGGAAGAATGAGGCCGAGTGGGCACAGTGGGGGCAGCGAGGTGCCAGGACATGTCCCCGCCACGCTGGCCAACGTGACTCTCTAGTACAGGGCGTGAGGTCGGAAGTCAGAAGCTAAACTGTCAATCCACTGAAGGGCTTACCTTTGGAGAATCAACTCTGCCTGCTGTTCAGAAATAGTTAGACCTAGTATCTGCAGAGACTGAACAATTTCGGAGGCCTCGATTTTTCCTGTGGAAAAAAAAATGCAAAGAGCATAAACTCAGACTCAGAACTGTCAGGACCTTAGAAATCATGAATTTCAAATCCCTCATTTTATCAGGGAATGCCTTGAACTGATTAAGGTAAAATTATAAATGTAGGGGAGTATTCAATTTGCTTGAGTATATACTGCAACACCAACCCAAAATTTAACAAACACATTCAACAACTACACGCACATTATTTCACCCGGAAACAATAACAGCCTGGTAAGTAAATAATGACAGGCCATCTAAAGAAGAAGAGACTGAGAGCTTTGGTGGCCTTCCCAAGGAACAACATAAAGAAGCAGCAGAACTGAGATCCAAATCAAGATACTTGAACTTGGAGCCAGGTGGGTCCTGGAACTATCGGGGGGAGCCCTTCGTGAAGTGTGTGATGGTCTGACCATTCAGGTGACATACACCGGAAACTAATACAAAATAATACTGGGGGTGGGGGGAGATGCCTGGGCTTTGAGGTAATTTCAAATAAGCTAGGGTTTATTCATTTTAACAGTATGCATTTTTACATTTTAATAAATGACTGGGCATTTATTGTGCATAACGATGTATTGCCCCAGGTTCAAAGGAAGTAGAAAATGACTAAATGAAGCCAAAGAGAAATGTGGCAACAGAAATTAAAGAGAGCAGGGACAGGAGGACAACGACAGCTGGAAAAGAATTATTATTATAAGAGAAATGAGAGCATGCTTGCACACAGAAGCAGCATCAGAAGAGAAATGTGAGCGACGTGAGTGATACTGCGTTTCCTCTGAGCCGCTCACAGCCGCATGGGGATCCTGAGATGCACCGGCAGGGGGCAGGACGATACAAAACAGAGAGAGAGATCGGATGCCAAACCCGAGTTCACGGCAAAGTTCGCCATGGCAAGAGGAAGACAAGGCTTAGTTAGCAGTGAAAGGAATGACTTGATTTAAGGAAAGGACGTTGAAGCAATGACGGGATTCGCAGTGAATGCTCCGGTGGAGAGCAAAGGGACGGCATGAGAGTCTGGACGATGTAAGGGCAGTTGGAGGCTGCCACGTCTTACCCGTGCAACTCCCTAAATGACAGTCTGAAGATCATACTCTTAAAGAGACGCACTTGAGCCCCGTCGTTCACAGCAGTTACGTTCTACATGGTCACTGCTAACCTGAATTAGCGGAAACTGACCCACTGTTCCTACGGGAAATAAGGGGGTAGGCTCCCATGAGCCTCTGGTCACATTTTCATCAGCCAATCAACGCACACCCTTGTTTTACTTGTGTTTCTGTCTAAAGACACCTTACGTAACATACGTTATGGATTCGCTGACATGGAACTCACGGTCAGCCGTCCTCTGACTGGTGCCTGAATGAAGCGTACCTAACACATGTGCTTATTTCCCAGGGCGCATCCTGGCCTTCTTGCACTTGGCAATGCTCGACAGCACGACGCGTGGGAGCCATTTTAAATGGCAAAACCACCAACCAAAAGCACGAAAATGCATAAAACTTGGCACTAAGTAGACTGAAGAAGGACGCCAAGAAGTATTCTATTTGAAGGATGAAAGCCAGAACAAGAAAGCAGAGCATCGCCCTGTTCTGTCTTGGCTACAAATGAGCATGTCAAGCATCTGAAATGTCTCCATGCTCTGCGCTTGTCTACGGATGACGGCACAAGTGCTACGAGCACTGATTCGGGGGTGACTTTTCAGGGTTGAATTTTTAGCAAGCAGGCCAGTTCTCAAACACAAAACCCACAAATAATGCAGACAGAGTGTCTATGCTTGGCTTTAAGGAAGTCTGATAAACAAAATGATACACCCATCATGAGAAATTGTTGTAAAATACACAAAGAAGGTAACTTAAGGAGAAGTGGTGTCTGCTGCAAATGTGTCATAAAATCGCATCTTTATGCATTTGCTCTGAAATGGAGAACTAGTCAGTGCAGGAGAGAGCGCTGGAGTGGCTGACATCCACGTATCTGGCCAAAGTACCACCTCCATCCCCCGCCTGTGCCAGCACTACCCAGACAGTCCGGCCCTGCCATGGAACGGGAGAGGGCCCGCGGTAGGACGGAAGCATGCTGGGAAGGAGTGGAGCTGGCTGCAAGCACTGAGTTTTGCCAGAAGAGTAGACTGAGGCCAGCCTTGGGGGCACGGGATGGAAGGTTTGTGGGAGGTGACAAGCGGTCCAATAGCATGCCTTGCCCCCACAAACACAGCTCTTCCAGGCGGAGTCACAGACTTGAGTGGTCTTCAAAACCACCCCAAGAGCTTCCTTGTTTGTTTGTTTGTTTGCAGGAACTGACCTTGAATCAAATTGAATATAATGTTTAGTGTATATTCCAGGGGCCAGTACACTATAACCCTCTGGCCAGATAAACCTGCTGCTCGAGTTTGTAAAGAAAGTCTTATCACGAGGCAGCCAGGCGCACGCACTCACGCTCACTGTCTTCGGCTGCGTCTGTGCTAGGACGCGGGGCGCAGTGGTTGCAGCCGGGACCACACGGCCCACAGAGCTGAAGCAGTTACTCGCTGGCCTCTTACAGAAAACGTTGGCCAGCACTGCCATGAACCACAGTTCCTCTCCATCTATTTGCTTAATTTTTAAAATACTAAGTCTGTGAATGACCTGGCTCTGGCAGCATGTATTTAGGGTGGGTTTGGAAGCTGCATTCTAATTTTTGTTAAATAAATCCTTTCTTCCCTCAGGTGAGAAGGGTTTCATGACCCTTCCCTTTCTCCTACTGTGCTTTTTTTTCTAATTTTTATGTATTGATTTTAGAAATAGGTAAAGGGAGAGAGAGAAAGAGAAACAAGGACTTGTTGTCCCATGTATTGATGCATTCATTGGTCGATTCTTGTATGTGCCCTGACCGGGGATCGAAACCACAATCTCCGTGTATCAGGATGGTGCTCTAACCAACTGAGCTACCACCAGGGCCGATGGTGGCTCTTGCTTTTTGTTCCATACAAATAAGACTTAACTCCAAGCTATTAATCTAAATTGAGAAACCATCATTCCCATCAGAAGATACATATTTAAATGTCTACCCACTATTTTTTTCTAATTTTCAGGATCAAAGGATATCTGCTCTAAAGTAAGTCTTTCAAAAAGACTACCAAATGTAAGATAATCTACAAGTTTTTAAAATTTAGATCATGTACTATTTATGCCTAAATACAAAAGAAAACTACATCTCTTTTGTCCAGAGAGCAAAGAAACATAATTCTTTTCAACTCATAGCTTTAAGTCAAATCAGCCTATGGTTCCATAGTTAACAGTCTACAAACAGTCCAAACTCACAGTTTTTAAATTAATTGGACAAAAAATAAGTTTTCTTTACTAAAAACATAAATTCTATATAAAAATCACATTACTAAGAAAAACAAGTATTAACACTGGTGACAACTGTCATCTAAAAAAGGAAAAACTAAATATACATTGCTATAAGCTCTTAGAAATAGAAGTGCTTTCTCACCATCTTTATTTTTGTCCAAACTATTAAATGCCAATTTCATTTTTTTCTCATGGTCTTTAAGGTACCTCAAAAATTCTTCAAAATCCAGCTTTCCATCTCTGTTGATATCACCAGTAGTAAAAATTTTCTACAAAAAAAAAGAAAAAAAAGGAAGTATTTTAATATGGATTAAAACATTAAGTTATTTGTTCGTACAATTTGAGTAGAACGGCTGTTTTTCTGCAAAGACAAGTATTCCACAAATCCTAAGACAAAAGATAAATGCTTGGGATTTAAATATCTAAAACAGTATTTTTTCCCTTGGATTTCCAAAATTACATGATCTCTTCCTAAAGATGATGCTTATAAAGAGCTGTCCTACCAAACGATCTCTACTAGCAGAAATCACAGTTTCTGTGAAAGAAGTAAAAATAATGGCATTTGATTTTACATGTAAGCCCTCTTCCACTGTCCCCCAAGGCACACACCTTCCGCCTCCCATCGCCCCCGCAGATGCTGACAGATTCTGCTGGTTTCGTGTCACGCTCTTCTGAGAACACGAACCCGCAGTGTGGCCGGGTGGCACAACGGTCAGACCTCCGAGCTCTGGACTCAGAGCGGAAAGGGTCTGAAACTCATGGGATGCGGCCAAAGTTTAGAGGGAAATTTCTGGAAATGCATTAAGAATTAAGATAAAGAGTAAAAAAGTCATCATAAAGAAAACAAATATACCGTGGAGAGGACTGCCAATACCAAAAGGTGGCTCTTTGGGGGAAAAATAAAAAACGGTAAAACTGGCATACCCCTGAACACTGGCGAGCAGCCAATGTCGGAACACAACAGTGAAAATCACGAGGTAGACATTAAAAATACTATGAACAACTTCATGTATGATAGTTGAAAAGTTGTTTCATGAAGTATGAAAATCGAGCTAAAGTAGACAACTTCCCACAAAAAGAGAATTTATCAAAAATCACTGGAAAATCTAAGTAGTCCTGTAAGTATGAAAGGAATTTAATCTGTAATTTTAAAACATTCCCACAAAAGAAAATTTTAAGGAAGGTCATTAGTGAGAAAGATGCAAAAAATCCTACAAAAGTTAGGAAATCAAACGAAATCTAACACTATGTAAAATGGATAACATTGTATGTAAAATGCGTAATACCACATTTAGTAATATGTGATATAACAATATACAAAATGGAATATATATGTGATGAATGTATTCCATGAATGCCAAGTTATGTTATGAGTAACGTTTAAAAAGAAAACAACTTGTAATTTACACATTAACAAAATAAAAATGTCATATGATCATCTTAATAAATACAGAAAAACATTTAATGGATTCAACATCATTCATGATTAAAAACTCCCAGCAATCCAGGCACAGAGCAGTGCTTCCGTATCGGATAAAGGGTATCTCCAAAGATTTCCGGCCTTTTTGTTAAATGGCCATGAGCAGGAATCTCTTACCCCGCAACCAAAATAGCCCTGATTCAAATACCATCAATTGTCATTTATAGTTTTGAAAGCAAATACATTTGTCCTGTCACTGAAAAATAATTACCGCTGAAGTTAATTCTTCCAAAGTTGATGGAGGGTGGTTTTCATCTCGGAATTATTTCCTGATTACTCAACACGTACAGAATATTTCCCAGTCCAAGAAGAACTACCACAGCATTCTGGGGCGTGCCATTTACACACTGCAGTTTCATCTAAGAAATTTACATTTTGATCCACATAAATATTAGCGAACAACAATGATTTTGGAAATTACAACTGGAAGGACATCCCCAAAGTGGGGCAGAAGCATTTCCGGCCTAGGTGCCCACCTACGCTACTAACAACAGGTGAGGACATTGGACAAGGTGACCCCAAAACAAGGCAGCAACCAACACGTTGAAAGCAATTTCAGTTTGGAAGGTTTTTTTTTTTTCATTGAAAAGATAACTGAAAAAAAATGTTTGAGAAAAGTGTTAGCTATGTTGAATTATTCTTAATACAGTGCCATTGATCACCGATCGGAAGTCTACGGGCGGGCCCAGGTGAAGCTCGGGAAGGTGTAAATGAGGCTGCACCCCTCTCCGCCCGAGGCCTCTCCGGGGCTCCCGGCCCCAACGTCTCCCTGACCTCAGCCCCACCGAGGCCCACCTTCCCTTCGTCCTGCGGGGAAACGACGCCCATATCCTCCAGGCCTTCCTCAAACTCAGTGACGTCCAGGCTCCCGTCGTCATCGCGGTCCAGGAGCCAAAAGAGTTCCTCGTAGAGGGCGTCCATCAGGGGCGTCTGGCAGCTCGGGAGGCCCGCGCTGCGGCCCCGGGGGCCTCCCGCGGGTGGAAGCGACAGGAAGGAGGGGCGTCTCTGCCCCCCACTCCCCACCCCCCGCGCGTCCCGCCAGCAGAGCCCTAAGATGGCAGCATCTTCGGAGGCCCCGAAGACACAGCACGTCCACGAGGTAACAACGCGCAGGAAGGGGAGAGCGCTTCGCAACGGCTCCAGGCGGAGGCGCGCGGGGCTCCCGGCCCACAGCGGGTGGCCCTGGCGGTGGTCCAGCTGCGCTCCCGGGGGTGCAGGTCAGACGCCCTGGTGTCCACCCCACTGCAGGGGAGGCCTCGTTCCCCCAAGACTTCCGGCACGACCTTTGCCCGGCGGCGCTGTCTCTAAAGGCGGGGCTTCTTTTTAGAGAAAAGTTGGGGAAGGAGTGCTGGGACCCGGACTGTGGGCACCAGGGCTGGTGGCGAGGTCCCGGAGTTTGTTCAAAGTGGTCCGTCTCACCCTCCTGAGAAGTCTCTTCGGAGGTGGAGGCCGGTGAAAACGGTGCTACTGAAGACTGGGAATTGGGGAGCTAAGGAAAGTGCACCCACTTGGGCCTTTCCTTCTGTGATGTCCCCCACCCCGTCACCTCCCCCAACCCACCTACAACCCCAGGTCCTCGCGGTCACCCCCGGGAGCCCCCGCCATCACAGCAGGGGCCGGGCAAAGCCACTCTGATCACCCAGTCCCGGCTCCAGCCTCCCCGGTGCACGCCTGGGAGGGAAACCTCCAAGTAGGCAGAAGTGGAGTGAGCGGGGTCCCAGAGGGAAGTCAGGAGATCCTCACAAACGATGCCCGAGGCGCTTGTTACACCCCTCTCTCCGGGCCCACCGAGGGCCTGGCTTCCCTAAGCACCTACCTGTGGCCCTCATCTGCTCCACTGCAGATGTAGAAGAATCCACATAGGAGGGTTTTAGGACAGAAAACCCACCTTTATGTAATCTACTTTCCTAAATATGGATATTCTTTTTAAAAAGTTGAAGATTAAAATTCATGTACAGAAACAAGAACGCGCAACCATTGCTGGTGGGAATGCAAGATGGTGCAGCCAGTCTGGCAGACACTTGGTGGGGAAGAAAGAAAAAGGAAGACATCTTGAGCAGGGGTGGGAAGAAAAAGAAAAAAACATGGAAGAAACTTAAATGCCTTTTGCTGGGTGAAAGAAGCCAATCCGAAAGGCTGCATACTCTATGATCCCAGCTGTCTGATGTTCTGGAAAGGCAAGACTCTGAAGGCGGTGAAAAGGCCAGCGGTGGCCGGAGGTCAGGGCCCCGGGGAGGATACACGGGCAGAGCACCGAGGACTCCCAGGGCAGCGAAACGACCGTGTGTGGTGCTGTGATGGTGGATACGCGTCCTTGCACGTTTGCCGAAACCCTCGGGATGTGCAACACCAAGAGCGAAGCCGAAGGTGAGCTCTGGACTCCGGGTGGTGATGATGTGTCAAGGATGCTTCGTCTATTCTAACGAACTCGCAAGTCTGGTGCCAGATGTTGATAATCCGGGAACCTATTTACATGGATGTAGGAGCAGGAGGGACATGGGAAATCTCTAGGTCTCCCTTTTATTTTTGCTGTGAACCTAAAGTTGCTCCCAAAAGTAAATTATTCTTTTAAGTTCATCAGGAAAATGTAATCCAGCCCTTATCTGTTAGTTCTTGCTCTGCTGACTCATCATGTCAAGCACTGACAACGCAAGGAAGACCATTACATGTCCTTGAGGTGCCCTGGGGTTTGCCTCTAGGAGGAGGTTGCGCCATGGTTAGTCACCAGCCCTACTGTGGGCTTTGCAACAAACATGTCCCCCCGAGCCGCTGTGCAGGGACATGGGTCTGATGCTGTCTCAGGAGACACGCCGTGGCCCAATCAAGGAGGAATTCTCCCCCAAGAGAAACGTCACAGTCCCCGTAACGGTCCTTCCCTGTGCGCCGCAGAGAACGCAGGTAACCAGGGAGCCACAGAAGCCAGGCACCTGGCCAGGGTACGAGAGTGCACAGGACCAAGTGGAAAAGACAGAAGTCCCAGCCGGGGTGATAAGGACTTTATAGCACCGAGAAGAGGAGGCAAAGCAGAGAGCTGACAGTCTCCTCACCACACATGAGACTCTTCGGGTGCTTTGAGCTACTTCCCTCCTTGCCCTTGGTACCCCTCGCCTGTGATGCCACGTCGCCCCTAAGAAAGCGCCAATCAGAGCACGTGCCTATGAAAACATGGCAAACGACTCAGTTTTAAAATTGCCTATACTTTCCCGGGCTCGCTTCTCAAACCAGCCATCCCCGAACCTGGGTACAGGAATACCTTCACTCTCTCCAAAACCTGTCTCCCTTTCTGCTCCACGTGTTCACACAAGACTTGCCACTAAAACGATGCCAAGATTTGAGAAGGAAGAAAAAATAGCCATGAAATTCTACTGGGCGACATTTGGCAGGTGGGCGCCACCCTGTGGGATTCAGTACACGCAGTAAATCAGAGGCCCGTGTCTGGCTCCGCGCCCTCGGCGGGAAGAAGAGACGAGCCTGGGAACCGGGAAGGAGAAGCAAGGGTGGTCCCCTGCCCCTCACTCCCGTGACCCCCTGGGAAACGTTCTGCTTCCCGTTCCCACGCCTGTGGGCTCTGCCGGGTTGGTCTGTGGGCAGGAGTGTATCCAGGATACACTCTCACCCGGGAGTCCAGCAAGGGGCCACTGAACCACAAGCTCCAGCTGCCACCGGGACACTCGGACCTCCCTGGGCCCGGGGACCAACAGGCAAGAGAAGGAGGCACCACCTTAGTAGGCCGGTGGACATTAACCCTGTAGGACAGGTGCTGGTGTTAACTCTGCCACAGAGAGGAGACTGAGGCTAGAGACATGGTTTGGGGGGATTTTTGAGACTTTTTTAAATGGTCTAAAATTAGCTGGTAATTAGCAGAACTAAGATTTAAACCCAGGCAGTTTGGCTAGGTTGTCCTTATTTTCTCACGAGCTTATCTGTGCACGTAAATACATGTCCATCTGGCAACACCATGGAGGCAAGAGGAAGTGTGGCAGTGGCGGAAAAAAGGCAGGGCACAGGGGGCGGTTAGGGCAGTGACAGTGCTCTGTATGATGCTCCACCACGGCGGGGACAGGTCGTTATCCCCTTGTCCAAACCCGCAGACTGTATGGCACCGAGAGTGAACCTTAGGATAAACTACAGACTTCAGGTGACTATGACGTATAAATGAAGGTTCGTCCTTGGTTATAAAGGAAAAGAAAAAGTACCACTCTGGTGAGTGACCTTGACAATGGGGGAGGCAGTGCATGGGGGGGGGGGGCCGGAAGTGTACGGGTGCCTCTCCGTGCCTACCTCTCAGTTTTACTGTAAACCTGAAACTTCCATGAAAAAGTCTTTTTTAATTTAAAAAAGATATTTATCTTACTTTGTTGTAGGGAACCACTTCACGAGACGTGGAAATGTAGCCCCGCACCCACGTGGAAAGCCAGTGGGGAGGGAGTCGGCACGCAGGACCACGCCCGTGAAGAAGTTCTCCCGTGGGAAACCAGGCCTGCATTGTACCCAGGCTGCTTTGTGACTTGCTCTTGCTAAAACTCTCTCAGCCTGCGTCGAGGCAGCAAATGCTTACTGCATATCTTTAAAGTAACTTCCTGAAGTCTGTGCTAATTCTCCCAGGGACTGAAGTGTAACCAGACCTGTTACTCATCGTTCCCTTGCATTTGCAACATTTTTTCTGTGTTAATCTGTAGAAAGTAATCAGTAACATCCTTTCCTTTATTATCTGTAAAAAGTAATCACCTAAAGCAAACCCGAGCATAATGAATGAGAACCTTCTCTGATGTATGCTATTAGAAAGCCAACAAAAGCCTGTCCAGGCAAGGGTCAGCACACTCTCCCCTTGAGAGAGTAGCCCGGCCGTCCCTTTTCCTCCACAGGACTCAGTCGTCCGTGTGAATTTGTCTTATCTCATCCATAACGCCTCGGACACTGCAGGCCAGTGTCTGCGTCATTTTATCCAGCATTTCTAGGTACTTTTCAACAGGTAAATTTGGGTTATCTTTTCCTACATATGCTAGGAATAAAAGCATATTTTATGTATATATGTAAAAATATATATCATGGTGATAAACATATGCCATCCTGTTCTATGTGTTTGCATACAAACAGTTTTATACAACTTATTTTGTATGTGTTCTTATGTAAATTTTGAAAAATACAGGTGGTTTTTATTCTCTCTTTCTCAGTCAAGCTACACAGAGGTTTGTCTATTTTATTTATATTTTTAAAGAACTAACCCCCACCCCCAAAAAAGCACATGTTTAAATAATTCATGGGTCAAAGATGAAATCCCATTAGAAAAACTAGAAAATACTAGCAACTATCTAACAACAAAGGCACGAACTTTGAGGGTGCTGCTCAAGAAGCAATCAAAGGGGTATTGCAGCTTAAAATTAATGAATCAAGCATTTAACTCAAGAAACTAGAGAAAGAGCAAAGGAGTAACCCAAAGCAGAAGGAAATAAACAGGGATTAAGGGAGGAACATAAAAACAAAGAAGCAAAAGGAACCAGGAATGGAATAGGGAATGTAACTACAAATACGGTCAGAAGTTTTTAAACATCGTAAGTGAGGTTTAAGGACCTCAGACAAAATAAACGGACCGTTTCCTAAGAACTGTAACTTACTAACTCGGACTCAAGAAGAAAACGGTAACCTGAAGAGTCCAGTCTCTACCACAGACATTGAATGAGCAGCTTAAAATACAGAACAGCACCACAGTTGGCTCTTGCGGCCGAATCCCTCTCCCTCCCAGGTTTCAGCGACACTGGAGAGTTTCCAAACACCTCCTCCCTGCTGAGGGGGCTGAACTTCAGTGACACAATTAAAATGACTCAGAGACCTTGAAATGGCTGCGACCCGCCAACCCTCCCGGGTCAATTTCTGGACTTAGAGCGTGAAGAAGGTGAGTCCATGGAATGCCGCCTCTCCTCCTCAAGAGGAAGTTGGGAAAGCGTTAAGGCTGGATCTCAAACAGGCCTGAAACAGCAGGCAGGCGAAACTAGCTGGTGCAACGGAGCCGCTTCGGACGGAGAACTTCGTGCGAGTTTTTTACAGCATTTGGGGCCCACTGAAACCTGACAGCCCAAAAGTGCAAGTTTGATTAAATGTGTTTAAATGTTTGTGAAGGCTCAGAGCTAAATAAATAAATAAATAAAATACAATTTCTAAATGTTTGCAAGTGTTTGCAAAGGCTCAGAGCTAAAAACAAACAACACTTGATGGAAAGTTTGCAAAGGCGCACAAAGGCAGGTAAAGGCCCCGGGATGCGTTCAGACCAGAGGCACCGCGGTCCAGTGGGCGAGTGTTCGCGGCGCTGATTTTATCTGGAAAAACACACAGGGCCTTTCAGCACCCGCCGCGCCTCTGTTGGACGGGACACACGGCCGCGCGCCCCGATCTCATCTCGGGCATCGGAACCCATTCGCCGCTGGATGCCCCGGCCCCTCCTCCTTCCTGGCCGAGCGCGGGCCGCCGCCCTCGGAGCTGGCAGCGCCCCAGTGCCCGCAGCCCTCCCGGCGCTGGGGCCGCGCCCAGCTGCCACCCACCTCCTCGGCGTCCTGGCCCAGGGGGATGCCCAGGTTCCGGAGCCCCTCCTGCAGTTCGCCGATGTCCACCACGCCGTCCCCGTTGCGGTCCAGCTGCTGGAACAGGGTCTGGTAGCGCGTCGGCGGCTCCGCGTCCTGGCAGGCCGCCGCGGGCAGCACGAAGCCCCGCAGCCAGCGCAGCATCGTTCCGGAGGCGCGGGGCGGCGCGGCCTAGGGAAGTCACCGGGGGAACCGTGCAACGGCCGCAGGCCTGGCTGCCGGGACCCGGCGTGTGGTGGACGCTGCAGCGGGGACCCCACCCAAGCCGGGCGGGGCGCGCAGGGAGGAGCCGCTGATGCAGGCGGAGCTCGCCCGGCGCCCGCCCCCAGCCTCCACTCGGGGCGCGGAGGGCCGAGCCAGGCAGGAAGGGGCAGGGCCGCGGGTGGGCCTCGGAGAGGCTGTGGGACCTGGAGAGGCGGCGCCGCTCCGGTGCCAGCTGCCGGGGGCGCGGGTATGAGGATCAGGGCTCCAGAAGTCGCGGGCCTCAGCCTCAGCTCCTTAAGGGGGGCAGTGGGGGCGGTCTGCGGCTCAGGCTCCTTCAAGCCTGGTTCCCTCCTGGTTGGCAGCCCTGGCGCGCTATACCCGAGGTGGCTTCCTCTGCTGGAAACCGGGCCAGCCCTTCTTTGTCTTGCACAGACCTCTGACTTTTTCCTGCCACTCCGCACACACCGCACATCTCTGGGCCTGTTTCCCGTTCACAAAAATGCGCACCTGACCTGGGATTTCTGCCCTAAGAAACAGGAATTGAATCTGAAAGCAATTTTTTTCAAAGTAATACAATGTTATATCCATTCTATCTCAATAAAACTGGGGAGAGGGGGGGAAAAAGCAGAAAGCCAAAATGGAAAAACTCAGGGGTCTTTGGCAGAAAACAGCCACCTCCATCCAGGTTCGGCGGGTCATAAAAAGAGGGTCCACTTGGTTCTACAGCTTAGTGCACAGGACCTGCCCCTGATGAATCCTAAGTAGCTTCTGCCAACAGCACGTGTCAGAAAGGCTCAGGCCCGGCCTCTTAAGATGGGTGCAGACACAAGGCTTGGGGTTCACTGCCCAGGGAAGACAGAAACAGGATAAGGGAGGGAACGCTGGATTCAGAAAATGCCAGCGTCCTGGTCCCTCGGCCGTGCAAACCCAGGGGGCGGACCCCCTCTGAGCGCCCTCTCAGAGGTGCAGCGAGCACTCGTAACAACAAGGTTCTCTGTTGTGTGTGAACGTGTCCATCAAAGGAGACAGCGCTAGTTGTGGTCATCCTGTGTTCACCCACGGCTGCTTCACGGAAATGATCGTATTTCTACCACCTGCAGGAGGTACAACTATGTACCTGTAAGAACTTCAACTCCCCCACACTGTCTGCGTCACTCAACAAAGACCAGCTGTCCGAACCAAATCCAGGAACCCAGGATCTGAATTTTCCTCCCCCCACCCCCATGCCATTTTATATGTTTAAGACATATGTGAGTCTAGAGTTTGTAAACTGACAGCTCTCTGGTGAGTGAAAGCATCCTGAAACCAATTTATTTGCTTATGTTACCTCCAATGTCCAGTCCTGCTCAGAATTATCCTCTTCCTTCAGAAAGGCCTTCATTCACATCATCACATTTTCTGTCTGTCCTTAAAAACTCCCTCTGCCCCTACTGTGGATATTCTGTGCTTGAGGAGAGGCTGCTTGAAATAGCCATCCCAGACTTAAATATTTTCATTTTCCTTTATTTTTGTAATAACTAGAGGAATAATTGCCTGCCAAAATGTTGACTGAGAAAGCTTCTCACAGAAAAACTTATACAGGAATGCTTATAGCCATTTCATTCATAATTGCCAGAAACAAGAAAAATGTTTTTTTTTAAAGATTGTATTTATTTATTTATTTTTAGAGAGAGGGGAAGGGAGGGAGAGAGGGAAACATCAATGTGTAGTTGCCTCTCAATCGCCCCCTACTGGGGACCTGGCCCACAATCCAGGCATGTGCCCTGACTGGGAATCGAACCAGCAACCCTTTGTTTCATAGGCTGGCACTCAATCCACTGAGCCACACCAGCCAGGGAAAGTGTTCTTAAGTGGGTGAATGGAAGAACGACTTGTGCTGCGTTCATACAATGGAACACCGGGCAGCAATGAAAGAAGTGAGCTGACATACCCAGCAGTGCACTAAAGGACAACCTGGAAAAGGCGAAACTATAGGGACTGCAGTTGCCTGGGGTGGGAGGTTGGGGTGCTGGGGCAGAAGGGAGTTCTTGGGGGTGAGGGACCGGTTCTGTGTTTTGATTATGGTGGTTGTTACACAGCTGTATGCATTTGATAAAAGGCATGATACTGTACTCTAAAGAAAGTTTAATTTTACTCTGGAAATTATGCCTCAATACATCTGCCTTTAATTACTGACTTCAACGTGGTAAAATGGAATAAGAATTCTTAGCTCAAATGATCACTGTGAAAATCAAGAGAGTCTATGAAGGTCAGAAGCTTGGACTTGTTACACAGGAGTGCGGTTGCAAAGCAGCAGCGTCGGTATCACTTGGGAGCTTGTGAGGCCTGCAGATTCTCGGGCCCACCCCAGCCCCTCCGAATAAGGTGAGTCACACATGAGCCCCAGTGACCCTTTCACACGCTAGTGTAAAGCAGCAGCACTCCGAGTGTGGTTTGCACACCAGCACCAGACTGCAAGCAGGTACCTGTTCGCAGCAAGGTAGGTCAGAGATTAAGAGGAGGCCTTTAGAGAATTCATAGCAGTGTGACGGAGTTATTTTATGTTTGCTGAACCTAATAAAAATTCAAGGCGTGTCTTTATTTCAATGTTCTCACAATTCAACTTGACTGTATTTTACAGAAGTGTCTGTCCTCAATGGATTGAGAAAATACTGTTGTTACCATACAGAAGAAAGCTGTAATTCACAACGCAACTTCCTGCAGGAGAGAAGAGTGTTACACAGACATTGCAACATCTGTATGGCGGGCACCTCTGCCCACTTCTGTGTCAGTCACCCCCCAGAGACGGCGCTTCCTGCAGACACCCAGAGTGGGGACCCTGGGCTGACTCACACCTGCACAACCCAGTCTGTTCCTGCGGTCAGCACAGAAGTCTAGGGCTCAGACCAACGCTTCGATTTTTCCCCATTTCTAGCCTCCATGAGAACTACCGGCTTCCGCTGGAACAACCCCCAAACTTTATCCATTTCATCTGTTTTGATGTCCAAAGACCTCTTTCAGCACCTACTTTGAGCATCTTGTAGTCAGGAGGAACCGGCTTGAATGATCATTGCAGAGTTTCAGTTTGTCTGCTACACAAGGCTCCCCCTTGTACCTACTGGACCACCTGGTTATTATGTGGTGCTAATAGACCGGAGCCACAGGGACCCGGTCCTACCTTGCGATCCTGGTCGCTGCTGTCTCAAATGTCAGAGGTCATGGAGAGGGCTATGTAGGAGAATCTGACTCGCCCAGGGTCGGGCCACCACCACCAGAAGAAAGACAGTTTTATCACACAATGAATTTTGAATTTGAATATCCTAGCAGTCTTTAGGGAGACGATAATCATTTTAAGTTCGACTCATTTATCATGTTAAGTGGCTGTTCTGCCCATATTTTCCAAGTCATTTAGGAGACAGAATTCCAGATAAGAAGGTAAATTCTGTCTCTTAGCCTATCCACTACCTGCACCCCTGTCCCAAAATATGAAGGCAATTTCCCTCAGATAAGTATGGCACTTAATCTCCACCATTTCTAAATCATGTAAATACTTTGGATTTCAAAACAGTTGTGTCAAATTCAAATGGGCTTCAAATGCCACATGATCTCACCTTTACCTGGAACCTAATCAACACAAGAAAAAAGCAAACAAAATATAACCAGAGACATTGAAATTAAGAACAGTCTAACAATAGGCAGAGGGGAGGCGGGAGGGGACAGTGGGGAGAAGGGTTTTCAGGAACTACTGTAAAGGACACATGGACAAAATCAAGGGGGAGGGTGGAAGCAAGGGAGGGAGGTGGGTTTGGCTGGGGTGAGGGGAGTGGAGGGGAGAAAATGCAGACAACTGTAACTGAACAACAAGTCATTTTTATTTTATTTTAATTGTTGTTCAAGTACAGTTTTCTGTCTTTTGCTCCCATCCCAGTCCATCCCCCCACAATAAAGTCATTTTTTAAAAAACCCACATACAGCATCGCTTTGAACATAATCATGTATAAGACTGTGTTAAAGCCATCTTCAGTTTTGAAATCTTATGTAAATTCTGTTCTGAAGACTGACGGATTTAACATAAAAAAAGTACACACCCATTGAAGAATCAATAATTGGGAGAATTGGATCCACATTCTGTACTGTATCTTTGCTGTGAAACGTCCCCTCCCTCCCGCCCGCCCTTCCTCCCTGAAGCAGCCGGCAGGTGGGCTGGGGGAGGGGTGCCCAGGGAGCACCAAACCCCAGAGAAAGAAGGTAGCCCGGCAGGGCAGCAGCCGGAAGGGCTGGGAGACCGGCTGCAGGTAAGGGGACGGAGAAAATAAACGCATACGTTGAGGATGACGAGACCGAGGCTACCTGCTGTGGAGAAATGACTTGTAGTAAGCAGAGGGGAAAGCTGGTGTGACCCCTGGAGGGCTGGTTTGAATGAGTGGCGTTGGTGAGAATTCAGTTTGAATATGTTTGGATACAGGAATACAAAGGGGTCTCTGTCCTCATAAAGCACACAGTTTAGTCAGGGGAGACAGAAAATAAATCACACCTCAGGGCTCTGTAGCTAGAGAACAAATTTGGGTCAAATGAATAAGCAGAAAACTAAGAATCTACAAAACAATAAAAATGGCTTCTCAAACATTCATTTTTAAAGTTACGCTGTGCAGAGAGGAACTTCAAATGCACATTTCTCATTTTAAAGTGCTCATCACTCATTTTTGAAAATGGAAATTTTTGCCATCTTTTAATTTTTTCATGCCTTTTTGCTACATGGACTCAAAAACTGAATCTTTGACATTAAAGTTTGTTCGCTTATATCTTTGTAATGTCTTCAAACTCATGACCATTTGTTTCTTTATATTAATGTGACTGGACTAGCCTCTGTGTAATACATTTCAAAGAGTTTGAGAGCGATTCAACTTGCAAGAAGTTCATTTCTTTACCACATTTTCAAAGTGTTTTCCTTCTGAAGCAAAGGCAGCCACTTCGGGGAAATGGCCATAGTGTAATGCTGCTAACAAGTCAGTAGAGGGTGCTGCAGCTGAAGATAAAGAACGGTTTGGGGATGAGTGACAGGCAGGAGGGGATCCAAGGAAAGAAAGAAGTGGGTGTTTCCAGTCACC